TCTCTTTTCTTTTTCTTTTCTCTAGTTGTTGTTTTTTTTGTTTTTGTTAAAGGATTAGGTTCATGTTGATTTTTGAAGAATAAAAAAGGGAACCTAACAGTGATGTTGGGATGAAAAATTTCAGTTGAATACGCCGATAACTTTATCACATGTCTCATGTAATATCCACATATTTGCGTTATTCAAATTTCTTTAAAATTATGATAGACATCTCTAAATGATGACCACCATTTTCATTTGGTGTCATGACTAATTGAATTTCTTCGTGATATTGAGTACTTAGGTATCGATATACTATTTAACGATACCCACACCCATACCTTTGTTGTCACAGTTCTCTACTCATTTATTATATGTTTTCGTCAACATGCATCATTATCGCATCATATAGAAATGAATATATTTGGCCATTCGATGAATGACGTTCGAGATGAACAAACTTAGAAAAACATCAAAAGATTAACAAAAATCAGCAATTAAGAATCAATTGTGAATGAAAAAAAAGCCATGTTCAATGAGACCAATTGAAACTTGACGTAGATAATCAAGAATAAGATTATTCATCGTTTTTCTCAAGGTCATCAATATTTCTTTTTTTTTGGAATTGCTTTCTCATCATCTATCATTCGGAACATTTCGATATTTCATAATAATTGTCGAGTAATGGCTAGTAAATTCTGATTTCCTTGTTTGTTTGTCGAGTGTCTCCTGAATTATAAATGATTGTTTTGAATGTATTGGACGACGATCGATTGATTTATTGATTCTGCAAAAGACTTGAAATAGATGAAGAATAATAAAATGTAGTATGGTTCTAATCCACTATTAACCTTGTCGAATATTCTTTCCAATAAATGTATAAAATTCATTGAAATCTTTATTTTCATTGTCTAACTCTTGAAATGATCACTGGACAAAACTTTATCATCGTAGTCTGTAGATGTCGATCTTGCTCTACCACAGATTTATACCCTGCGATAGTCTAATATTGCTCAGAAAATTTGATTCATGAATAATTTATCAAATCTTACAAAAACATATAATTCCTCTACAATCATGTAGGCTTTTTATCCATCGATTCAATACCGTCTTTAGAAAGGGAAAAGAGAAAGATAATCACACATGTTTTTAAATTTTATCGCCATGTCAATAAATACACTTATCGTGATGACTATTTTAGAAAAGTAAAACTAGTCTTATCTAATATGTCAAATACGAGAAGAAGAAAAAAGTAGATATTTTTACAGAACTATTGATTGATTAACAACAGAAAAATTTACTCCACAGCATTCATTCTTGATCGCGATCTAAAAAACAGGCTTAATATCTATAATGTGCAACAGATCGACATCGTCGACTACCGATCAGTGGCAGAAATATTGGACCAAGAGAGCTGCCATGGTAATAGCCATTCTACAACTACTTCTGATTTTACCTACAATTGGACTACAAATTGCTAGTTTTATAATTGGCAATGTTACTCTTGGCAAAGATATCAATTCGAGATACGTCTTTGGTTTTGTTGGTCCATCCTTCTTCATATCGAGCTGGGCTTCAATATTTTGTATAGGTGAGAGTATCATTATGATCAGATGAGTACATTAGAAAAAAATGGTTGTTATAACTGTGCATACAAGAAGAAATTTTTTGAGTCATACACAATTTCGATAATACAAATATAAATACAGAACAACAAAGTCTAATGAAGAGCTATCAATACACAGGAGCAAACAGCTCGTCAATGGAAAAGTTCTTTTATTTATTGTCTGTCAACAAAGAGAATTGTTCTTCTTTTTAGTAGATAAATCAAAATAGTTGTTGAATACTTGAAAAATATAGATTGGATGTTATTTAGGAAATTGGAAGATCTGGAATAGGATCGTTATGTTCTTTTACTTTCTTTTGACAAAGATGAGAACTATGTGCATATTCATTTAAACAGTTTATTTATTTAGAAAATGGAATACATAAGAAAAGTATGAAGTTGATTAAATAATAATGAAGTGTATAATAAACCAGTATGTGGTTGAGAATAATCCTTTTACACAAAGATCATCCTATATTTCTCAATAATAGAAAAAATATTTACAAAGTGAATTATGAAGAACGATAAACTATCTCACCTTTTTATAGATTTGAAAATAAAGCTTGTTTCCGTTTATTTTATAAAGGTTGAATAGAACTTTTCTCTATTAATCATGTTCTATTTAACCATACTAATGTAAAAGCAAAGTTGAATCCATAAATCGGACTATATTTTTCCAGCTAAAAATAAAATCGCATACAAATTATCATTGCTAGGTCACATAGTTGATTCTTTGATAAAATTAACAAGCAGACTTTATTTTATGCAGCATAAAAAAAATATTTTTCTAAATCGATTATCAAACAGTGCAATGAAAATAATCTAGATTTTAGCGATATCACGTCGCTTAAATGGCATATGGTTTATGTTGACTAATGCTGAATGTTCTATTAGAAATAATGTGATGTAGAATCAAGCTAATAAATAGACTGACATATGTTTCTTACCAGAAATACACATTGATATTGAAACAGTAGCTGTCATACCACTTGCTAATACATCTCAGCCGTTATCTAGATAATGGCTATTATGAAATCAAAATTCTAACTACATATCTGAGTGAAAATGATTCAAGAAATAGATGTAGTCTTTATTGTGAATTCAGTGGATGTGATAAAAACATTTTGTCACTAAAACAACTTCAGAAACTAGCTCTTTCATCAACATAATTAAATGATCATCAAGATTTGTACAATAACATGTTTGAACATATTAAAGTTTGATTTTGTTTAGTAGTAGTTACTTTCGTATTTATTTCTTGTTTCGATTGATGTTTTTGATAGAAGGTAAGAAAATTCTCGGGATTTGTTAAAAATCTAGATTGTCTTTTGAGTAGCAAGTTCATGTGACTTATCAGTTCTGGGTAGTATTCTATGATATTTCTGTCATAGTTATTTGAGAAATTATTGAAAAGTGATTGTCTGCTCAAAAGAGATACAACTCATTAAAGCAGTGTTGTAAATTACCAATATCCAATAACTGTGATTCCAATGCTCAAAGCGGAACAGATTGTTCCTATATAAATAAAACATGTTACCCTCCATCTGTTTTTTTTTGAATGAGTTGATGTGCAATTAATCCACTGATATCACGGATGGAAAATGATACTTTTTTTTTAATTTAGTTTGTCGTAGTCGAACATCAATGAGAAGTGTCTTGCATTTATTTTTCCATAATATAATGACCTGTATCATTTCAATCGTACTCATCATGCTCGACATCAAATTTCTCGATGATCCATGGCATGAATTCAAGAAGAAGAAAAGTCCTCGAAAAAGGACATCAGCTTATCAGAAAGCTAACGTCGAAGTATTGCTGATAAAAAGCCAACTTTTCTGTGCCATTATATTGGTTACCATGGCATGCCTCTTTATTCTTTTCTATTTAATTAGCTTTATTCGAGCACGACGTGAAAATGGGCAAACAACAGTTCATGAAATTCCTGTACCGTTGCAGCCGCCATCTTTGTGGACGACTGATACAGCTCCACCACCGTATGAGTCAAATACATCTTTGGATCAATATAAACATGATTATTCATGTCATCATTATCAATAAATACTACCAATTCATCATTGAAATTCTCTCTTAGTTGTCATACAAAAAAATAAATCTTTTTCGCTTTGTAATAATTTTTCTTGCAATACTTTTCTCACTGAAATAGAAGGCATGCATATTCAATGCTTGTACTATTATTATCTCTTCATGTTGGAAGGTGTGGGTTTGTGTAGATCTTCATCGTATAATCGCAGACACTCACAGCGTATTTGTGTTGAATAATATAGATTTTACATAAAAGTTTTTCGAGCTCTCTTGTTAAACCAAACAAGATCGACACTTATAGAAGCATTTTATGCATCTGTTTCTTACCCGTTTACAAACACCAAATCCTTGGCTTGTTGAGCATCGAAAAAAAAAGAAAAGATATGTGGGCCCATCCATTTGTTGCTTTATAGCTGGTTACATTGGAAATTTTGAGTGTAAGTGGTGATATAATAATATAAAATGAGTGATGAGTTCATAATATTCGACAGACGAAAATTGATCCAAGTGGAATTACGTATGATCTCTCACCATAGATTATATGAGAATGGCTTTGTTTAATTTCCTCTGATCTGTCGTCTAAATTAAAATGCTGATGTTTCTAATCAATATCGATTTGGTTTGATGAAAAAAAACAGAGAATCACTCTCAATAAGCCTCGCATGCAGAATCGAGTATCATAAATTTTCGACATAGAATGTGAAACAATTGAATTTACTCAGTGTCTCGAATGTTGTGACATTTCTTTTATATTGCACGTGTCTCAGATTAGGCAAATGATAAGACCTTGAATTCTTTTCGAGAAGAGGTTCCGTGAAAAGTTCTATAAAAGTTACATAATCGAGTTCTATTTTAACTATTCTAATAGTTTATTTTTATATTCAAAAACAACTTGCTTAACCGAGTTACTGCTTGTCATACTGAATATCCTGTGAAGAGCTTTCTGACTTGCTATAAGATTTGATATATGTATATTTTGTAGAGTTTTTGACGATACACCTATTGAAAAGAAATTTAATGTTCCAAATCTTATATAAACTCAGAAAAGTCTTCAAAGCATTTCCAGTATGATGAGTAGTAATACGGTGATGCAAGTCGTTGTCTTTTTTTAGTTTAACAACAGACTATTAGAGAATATGAAAAGGAATTGAATTATGAAGCTTTTAAAGGGTTTACCATAGCGTTTCTTTCCCAAAAGAACTCAAGCCCTTATCATTGATTTGATTCGAGATATATGCGAAATAAAAAAATACCATAACATTATGAACATTGAATATTGTAGAAACACTACATGACGCTCTGATCTATAGCTTCCGATGATTATCTGTAGTTGGTTTTTATAATTGTTGAACGGCTATGTAGCGATTTCACACAAACTAGCTCATTCACTCTAAAACAAAAGCTTTTCATAAGGAATCTTCAGAATAAGTACTATTCTATGAACCGCTTAAAGATTCTTGAGTATCGGAGTGGAACTATTTCTTCCAATAATTAACAAAGAAGAGGTTCTAGTTCAGAGGTCTAGAACATTTAAAAGACTCTTGAAATAGTACCTATTGGCATCGGCTTTTTTTTTACATTCCTTTTCTTAAAGAGAACGGTCAATTACTATAAGAAAGCTTGGCAGAGCACCCTTTGGCCGCTTTTGAAAGGTAGCAGGAACTATCCTTCGATAACTCTTTGAAAATGACAGGGACAGATCGTGAATAGCTCTTGTAGAGCTATCGAATGTGGGTGTGGGTGTGAGTGCAAAGAACTTATACATTCACACCTCGCCTCACCCCCCCCCCACCCACACACCTTTTTCACCTTATCGTTTTCACACCAGGACAATATTTTCAACAAATCCATGTATATATTGGGCTGAAATCAAATATATAAAAATCTGCACTAAGGCGATTGTGAAACAGAATCCAAATAATAATCAATGGGAGTAGGGCTGCTTTATCATTTGAAATCCGCCTAATTGATTATACTCGATTATTAGTGTCTTCCAATCGATTGATAGTGATTAAAATTAAAATTTTGTTTCACAATAATCAGGTTGATAACTCTGATTCGATCCATAGGATCTTGCAATTGTAGTAGATTTTTTATCTTTCAAATATTTCACTGAGAGTTCTCCAATATTGATAATTTTTAATCCTTTTAGGAGTTACTAATTGATAAAAATCAAGCAACTATGATTTTTTTCAACAATATTGAAGACAGGAGTTTAGTATTTCATAAATTTCATTCGGTATTAATTATTTTTCTTCGATTATCGTACCTTTTTTTTAATTGGAACCTAATTGAATCTAGTACTAGCGAGGATAATCTACAGCGTGTGGTTTCAAAGATCTGGGTATAGGTGTGTGTGTGTGTTAGTTCCAGTATCAACGTTCTTTCTCTGAAAAACATTACATAGTACCCAAGCCACCTACACCCATACCGACAACCCACTTACACTCACAATCCATCTACACAAATATCACTTACACCTATACTCACATCAAGCCACAATCTATTCTTCAGACAATGAATTTCAGTAATAAATACTTGATATTTGGCTGAGTACCAGTGCTCGGAAGATTTATATCTGGATAATGTTTCATTCATTTGAGCTGGAATTTTTAATTTTCTTCTTAGCTTTTCAAGGTCTGTCTACTGTAAAAATGTCAGCCAAATCGATGAGATCGATTGAGCAAAGTTCTGCTTGGAATAATCGTAGTTTAAGTGTCATGCATCTTATGTGACAACTATTAATTTGATTTTAAATAAGAATAAACTGCTTATTGGTAACATTTAATTTTGTAGATCTGACTTGCAAAAAATGCTTGAAACTGAACTACTACTTCCGAGCCCAAAAGACTCCTCTTATAAACATGATAATCATAATAAAATTAGCAAAAGTATTAGGAAGTAAGTATAAAAAGAGTGATGTAGTTCAAATATTTAAAACATGCTTGGTCCATCGTAATCTAAGGACACTATGTCGATACCTCCAATTCAACAAGGCTAATGATGAATATCCGAATTTGGATGGCGATGAAAAGAGTGTTGATAAAAAAGAATCGATCAACTACTTTCAGGTAGTACGTAACGTTGAGGACATTTTGTGCATTTTAATTATGAATTCTGTTTCATATTAGTTTCGATTTGCTGATCATACTGACTATCTTCTAATTTGCGTTGGTTTGATTGCTGTGATCCTAGAATCTGTGTGCTTTGCTGCGGGTTGCGTCATTTTTGGTAGACTCACAGGAATATTCGCTGAAGCATTGTTTCCCGAAAAATGTTCGAAACAAAAACAACAGTTGCCGATTACCACAGGACACAACAATGGATATTCATCCGGTATTCCACTTAATGTATCAAAATATGGTCACGTAGAGAAGTAAATGCTTGATAACTTTGCTTGATTTGCATCTGTTCATATACATATCCGTCCATGTTAGGTTGTACAAAGAATATGACTTAACAACATCTACAATACCGACTTCATCTATATCTGAATTTCAAAGTCTAGTGATCGAATATATTCGTTTGCTTCTAAGTAAATAGAATAGCAATCAATGATTCACCAATCATAAAATGTGCCTCATCTTTTTTTAATGTTTAGTAATTGTAGGTTTGCAAGCTGTGCTCAGTTTCCTTGAATATTATACTTTTGTGGTGTCGGCTAAGAGACAGAGCTGCTGTATAAGTATCTTTCTCTTTCGATCAATCGGCCAGCGGGTATGTGAATTTGTCATATACACATGATGTAGTGATATTAGTAACCATTATTCTCTTTTGCTGCTTTTAATGATTCTACTATTTGTTGTGTCATACATTTAACAGAACTCTTACTCGGAAAGAAGGTGTCTTATTACTAAACTTCAAAAGACTCGTAATTTTTTACCAAACGATTTGGGTGTGAATGTGGGTGGGTGTGAGTTTGGGTGTGGACATGAGTGTGGGTGAGATATTGTTCTTCACCCATACCCACACCCTCTCTAGTTACGATACGACTGAGAAAGTTGACTGAGTCTGCCTCACTTTCCTGCAGCAACTCTTGACAACATTCCACTGGGTTGACGCGTTGAAATGGTGTCAGCAATTTTGGTATCCATCTTGTGCAAACCTTGTTCATACCCAAGTGATTGTTCACGATCTCGTGGGGCCTGGTTTTGGAAATATCCAATTCGTCGATCACCTGAGTGTGGCGGTGGAAGTATAAAAGCTACGTGCATCATGTAAATCTTAGTGTGCTATGAGTACCTTGAAAAGAATTCGAGTTTATAACCTATTGCTGTCGAGACACTGCATTTTTATGGTAATTTTTAGCACAAAGCTTTGACCCTTCTCAACAACAGCAGGGAAACTGAGTTTCGAATTTTGACTTGAAACTTTACGCAAAGACAGTTCTCAATGAGAATAGTTTATTAGAAAAGTTTCAAATCTTTTGATTATTCGTATTTTAAGGTATAGTTATGATAAAGCATGCTTTTAAGTTGCTCATATACATCAGCAAATTCCAGTGGTCTTATTTCAAATTAGAAACGATGAAATGCTCTGACACTTTCATAATAAACTATGGTCATTGTCGTCCGTCTCTGTACAAAATTTTCGAGTCAAAATTTGAAACTCATGTTTCCTGGTGTTGCTAAGAGAAAAACCATGGCTTTCTGATACAAAATACACTAAAAATGTTGTATCTCGACAGCAACAAGTTATAAACTCGAACTCTATTCAGAATATTCATAGCTTACTAAGCTCTACACGATGCACATGGTTTCAATCCGAAAGTGATTTATCAGTTCTATATGTTCTCTTATTAACTGGATAGGCTGTTATGTACTATGAATAACTCAAATAAATTCTTAACTCTAATACATATTGGTGTACTTTTGATCAACACATATATTACACACGATCAGTGGTAAGACTTTTTTCGAACATTAATGTTTTCGCTAGAGACTGCGCGTATCCTTTCATGCTTTATATATACAATTGATGTTTTATTATTAACACAAAGAAAAACTGACTGGATTGGTAGAGTTATATGAAATTACTCGCAAATGATGTGTTGACTCATAAACCTCCTTTTAAGTGCGAAAAATTGATTTAATTCTTGTTGCTTTTGTTGTAATTATATTAGTTCAATTCTTTTAATCAATTTTATATATTACAGTAAATATGAATTTTATACCTCCCGATAGAAAACTTACTACTGAAGCTTTTGATGATATCTCACAAGTTATCGTATACAAAATTTGCCCTTATGTCTTATATAATTATTAATTCTTGTTATAGTTACCAAGAGATATGCAGATGGCTGTGACGAAAAACTTCATGAAAGTTTTCAACCAGTACCGATACCTAATCATGGCGATTGGTTGAAATATCATGAAGAAAAAGGACAAACTTTGAAAGCATTTGAACGAACTACATCAAAAGCTGTTACACATTCAACGTAAATAATAACTTATTATTTCTTTCTTTTTCACATAATAGTTTTATTACAATCTATATTCAGCCAGTTGGCAATTTTGATCATCCAAGGTAAAAATGAAAATCTTTTGTCTTTTCTTTTTTTTCTCGATTGAATTTTTCTTCAAACAAAATCTTAGAGTTGCACCACATAATGTTATTATTCAATTTGCACGTGTGTTTTTTGCAGGATGTGAACTTGAATTATTGCCAACAATTAATTTTTCAAAAGATATGAAATATAGAGAAAATCATGGAATAAGACAATATCGAACAGATGGATTTTATAATTATCTATCTCAAACACGTTATGTTCGTGATACAAGTCGAGAACTTTTATGTGTTGCTGTAACTGTAGCTGATATTTATCCTGATGAAAGTTGGAATTTTGTTTGCGGAAACCACGAGTAAAAGATGGTCTTGGTGTTTATTCATTTGCACGTCTTAATTCATTATTTCCTACAATCACAAATTTGATTCTCTGTTCCATTAACTAAAGAAGAACGTGTAGTAATGCTTCGAAGTTTTATAAAAATTCTTCTACATGAATTAGCTTATTTATTCGGTTTAAATCATTGTATCTATTTTAACTATGATATGTAAAAATATTTATATATTATTTTTGGTCTAAAACGACATTAAACATGCAAAATTTTTAATAAAAAGATATATCAAATTCATTGTTTAGAAATAATGATACACATTTATATTGTACAAAGTACTTTTCTGTAGAGAATAAGATATTTATTCCATATTAAACTGTTATAACCTATAAAGTCATGGAACTCATAGATTACTTTACCTATGATTCAATGCAGTACTCTGCAAACCAGTTAAATCATCATTAGATGTTTCCAGTGAAATTTTCTAATCGGAATAGAATATTGACCTCATAACTGTGAAATATGTTTTTTTCTTTCTAGCTTTTCATTCTCTATAATCAGCACATCTTACACATTTATCAGATCACTCACCTGAGAAATGTGTAAGATGTGGAATGTAACCGTGTGGGTTGAGTATGAATGAAGAGAGGAAAAGTGATAGGGGCACACATACACATTCATACCCTTTTATCAAGTGATCTAATCTGTATTTCTTGATTTCACAAGAGGCATATCTACGAACTTAAGGTATGCACGTTTACTATGAGAAAATTACACTAAATGTTAGTGATACTCATCAATTAGCTTTTGAAATGTATAATGAAAAATTGATAAATCAAAAAATAAGTTTGAGTTCTTATATGCTGAAGAACATAACAGCAAATACTTCAATGTTGATTATAGCAGTCTTAAGCGATATCTGCCAAGAATTTGCATTATAAAGCAGATTAATAATTATTAAATAACTATTGTTGTAACTATAAGCAAATGTATGAGTAAAAAATGCGAAGTCCATCGCTGCCGTACCTAAATTGGTCTTTAAACTGGAAATTATATTGTACAATTCTGTGAAGATCTGCAGACTGAAATGCTTTGTTTTTTTTTATTATTACAAAGATAGAGTTTGATATGTTTGAGAGCTTTGATTTTAATTTTGTTAAGAGCTAGTGTAGTAACTATTATTTCAAATCCAACAATATTCTTTTGCAGTACATAAGTAAAGTTAGTATCATATTCAAGTTTTTCTTTCTCGGATTCGTTCCATCACCTGTGTTCGATTGCTAAAGGGTTGTTTTAGGTGCAGAATTTTAATCTCGATTAAGTGATGTTATTTTCAACGGGAATCATTAGACAGAAATGAGGTTTATTTAAGAAATACACACTTTTTCCCTATGTACTAATGAGGTAAAAACACTATTTCTTGTCCGGATTCACTTCCTAACTTATGTTGAGTCTCTAACTGATTGTTTTAGATGCAGAATTTCAAGCTCTATCGATTCCACTATTGTGCCTATGCTATCTGAGTAACCTCATTGAGATGTGACACTACTTTCCTGTGTTCCTTCACAAACTTGCTAATTTGAATCAGATATTGTTTTACTGAAATCAATGTTATCTGTGTGTATTCATTTCTTGAATGCCCATGCCCTAATAGTTTTCCCAAAGTATGCTCTTATCAATTTCTTTATTGACCCTCTTCAGTCTGCATTGCTAAAAGAACAATATAAATACATAGCATTATCGACTACTCTCTGTAAAACGATTGTTTGGAAGCATCACAGGAAAATTTAAGTGTTCAACGCCAGAAAATATACAATTACAACATAATATAACGATAAAAATGAACTTCAATAATTTGACGAAAGCTCTCCAAAATTGCAAATTCAAAGACACTAAATCAGGTTTGCTGATATTATTTATAAACCATGAACGTTTTGATAATAGTAACGAATTGAAACTTACCATGATAAGGATAATGAATGAACTTGTATATCATTAATAATAGACTATTCATCAAGAGTATATGTTGATATACTACATGGATTGTATTCTAAACAAAAGAGAATCTAATAAAAAATACTTTACTATCTACATGATATATAAATCTATCGTAGATTTTTATAGAATTTTCATTAATATCGTTTGATTTGTTATAGGTTGATAAGATTCATTTTCGTATTTCAAATAAACTTTTTCCTCCAATCACTTAAAATATTGATGAATATTTCACTCGAATAATTAAAAAATATTCAATATCATTTTCATCCGATTCATAATTCTTAAAAGAATATACATAATTGTTTAAAATGTTTAACAATAAATGATAGTTTTGATGTTTTGAAAAATGATTGATCAATAAAAAGAAATTTAATTCAGAAGTAAATCAGTACATATTGAAATATATCATAATTTTGAAAATTTGTTCAATTTTGTTCTAATCGTGGAGAATAATCTTATTTTTATTTTAGTTTTCTTTCAATACTATGAATAATTATTCAAGATCAAGATTATTTTCTAAACATTGAAATATTAATTATAATTTAAGATTAGTTAAGATTTTAAGATATTCAATGACTAAAAACTTTGTTGTTAAAATTTGTCGAAAGCTTCTAACAAAAAAAAAAAAGAAATTTAATTTATGACGAAATTAGACATATTTTACAAGTTGAATATCACAATAAAATCATAGTAAAGATTTTTAACCCATTCGCCCCGATGTGAGCCACCGGTGGCTCACGGTATGTTCTAATGAGAGAAATGATACAAGAATCGATTTTTTCCCTTTTCTTCTCTCAGAAAAGAGTAATGGTAAGTCCTTCTTTTATTCAGTTCTGGGTAATGCTTCAATCATTTTATTATATAGAGAAATGCTTTT